ATTACTCTTACCTTTATGAGCAAAAATAACTGGTTGTTTCCACTGTTATAAGAAAAAAAATGCAAGTGATCGTGCTGGCGACTCCAAAGTGCGCTTTAGCTTCTCTGCACAAACGATTGGATACGCTCCTAATAGCTAGCACACATTTATCTAGATTAACCATTTAAACTAACATTGTTTTTTAAGCATTTTATATAGGCCTATAGATTTTATTTTAGTCAAGTGGTGATGATTTGAGAAGGCTAAATTGATCAAACATAGGCTATGATTAACTCACTGTCTGCCACTGGCCGCTTGGTCGTTACTTTAAAAAAACAAAAACTTGAATTTAACAAACAAAACCATTTCCCAAACATATGTCTAAATTAACGTAATAAAAGAAACGAAACTATATATATATAACCACTTTTGCCATTAAAAACGAAACTGAACTATTTTAATGGCTACAAAAGCAGCTGTGTAATTGGGGAAGAGAGAAAGAGAAAAAAGACACGGGCTCCAGTCGGACTCGGCCAGTAATTCTGATAATCTGTCGGATAAGGGCCGGACTAGGGCATATGTTTGAGGCCCGTGCAGGGTTCTGCTGAGCTTATTTGGTAGCAAACTCAATACTCATATACGCACGAGCGCACTTTGGATGTGACTGCGCACCGCCTCTGGAGCGCGCGAGTACCGAATGGCTTAAAAAGACGTGCAAATAAATAATACAATTTTCTGACGATGCAACAATGACCCGATTAGGCAAGTGACTATTCTGTTAACGGTTCCGAAAAGCGAGTGAAAGTCTTGTATCGCACCGTGCAGCGGCTCTTGTAGCGCAGACAAGATGCGCCGATGTGAAGCCATTTGAAGAGAAAGTCAAAGAGAGAAGCAATCTGTGTATCATTCGATCATTCGTTTTTTGATTTAATATTGAAAGTAGAAAAATGAGAAAACGGCTCCTTTTTTTGTTTTTTCGTTTTTATCCAAAAAACGAAAAACAAGAATTCAGCTTAAATTTTCTTTTTTCTTCATGGGTGGAAAAATGAATAAACAGTTTGAATATTCGATTTCTACATGTGGGCGGGAATTAAACACCCCTTTCTGCTGATTGGTCAGCCGAAGATCAAAACGTGCCATCATCAGTTCTTCCACAGTATCACGCAGCAGAATAATAGTCCTCCACTGCTGCAGTTGTATGGATTCTTAACGCATTTATTGCAACTACATGTCATCTTTTTTCATCAAACAAACAGGCTAATGAATAGCTGGACACAACTCATACTGGGGCAGAGTCTAGACAGGGCTTTCTTCTGTGTAGATATAAATTCTATTCTTTGCATCAGCTGGGGATGGCAGGGTATAATATGACAGCTGTCTTAGCCTACCCTGCTCACCCAGTAAGTCTGTTTGTTTGTTTAAATTAAGAAATTAATTAATTTGTTTCAAAATAAATATTTTAAACACTAAGACAAAAAGGAAGGGATAATAAATTGGCTTGGGTATATACAGTATATATAGGCCTATAATGTTCATGCAAGAACTGTCATTCTGACTGACAACTGGAGAACAGCAGATATTAGCCTACTGTTAGTTATATAACGTAGTCTTGTGTTTTATTAAAATTTATATCTCAAAAGGATATGCACTTGTGTGCAGCGTGAGCTGCTGCGCACTCAAACTGCAATGCAAGAGTTTCATAAAATATAATAACTTGCCCTTTCGGTTTGTTTCTCACCAAACCCTCAGTATAGGCCTACCTTCAGAATGTTTGGAATATACGCCACGGGATGCATAAAATTATTTTACGACAGATATGCATCCGCTTAAAAAAAATACAAATAAAAAGGTCACCATTCTCTGCCATTAAATTGGCAAGTGGAACGCCCCTTTTTTGCTGATTGGTCAGGAAAAAAGCGAAAAAGGAGCCGTTTTCTCTTTTTTCTACTTTCAAAATTAAATCAAAAAACGAATGATCGAATGATACAAGGATTGAAGACGCGTACAGCTGAATCACTCATGCTGTTTTCAAATGACTGATTTGATCAGTCTGTGGGGACTGGACTCAGTCTGTAGGTTTGATTATTTACTCATCAACCCTACATGCTATAGGCTATTGAATAAATGTGTGAATATCCATCATTTTAAAGTCAAAAGCTGCGGGAATGAGTAAAACTATGCGATATAGCCTATGCGCAATCCCGCACCGAAATTCAGGACCTGATGAAACAATTCTATTATACAGAGTTTTGTGAAATAGATTTCAATGACTTTTCCAAAACTTTCTGGGTTTATTTATTTTTCCAGGCCTGGAAATTGGTGTTTTAAAATTCCATGACTTTTCCAGGTTTTTCATGACCGCACGAACCCTGGACCTTTTCCCCTTGAATGCTAAAGCTATTATCCCGGTCATTACCACTACGCTAGGCATATTGTGTTCCTTTGAAGAATACAGAGAGCTTTATTAGGCTATTATATATTAAACATTATATTATAAACAGAAAGTTAAACAAATGCTGCAAAACAGCAAATCAGTCAATCATATAGCATTTAGCTATCTTAATTATTTGAAGACGATATGTTATTTCTCTTACTGAAATATTTGCTGAATTTCTCAGTGTTAAGCATGGCACTCATGAGGACTACTTTTAGGTCCTCTCGAGCAGTAAACGGGTCCTTCACGATGGTGAGAAGAACATCAGACTGAAGACTCTCATAAATTTCATCCAGGACCAGATGACTTATGCTTGAAAGATATCTGAGAGAAAGAAAAAAAAAAAAAAAAAGAGAGCTTGAGTAAAGGACAGACTTTTTCCATATTCGTGAATGGGTGAGAAGAAATAACTAGAGCAAAAACAAGAAAGATTCCTGAAGCCCTGATGATCTGAAGCGACCCACTCATAACTGACAACTATGATATTTCTTGAAGGCCACACATGGTTAAAGACTTTACGTATACTGCAAGAATATTAATTTCAGTTACAGTTACTGTCATACAGACAGTATTCAACTCATTCCTGTAAGCTTCTGTCTGAACAGGACAATTTGAGAGTCGCAGCTGTTAGTAAACACGGTTGTCAATCCCAAACACTGACTCTGTAAGCGTAAATGACAGCATCTCAGATCCCTAACAAGCTTTTATCTTGGACTTCTGCGTGTATGAATACGTCAGCATTTAAACAGAAGGGGTCAAAAAAAAAAAAAAAAAAAACACAGTGCATAATGTTTTCTATGTGGGTTGCAGTAAAAGCTGTCTGAGTGGATGAGTCAAGCTAAGAGACATGGTGAACGTTACTGTAGGCATCTCCCCTCTGCAGCTGCTGAAGCAGAGATGATGTGAGTGAGACAGTCATACTGAATGTATGTAAAGAAAAGTCAAAGCAGACAGATAGAGGATGGGGGGAGCGGGTTATGAAACAGCAGAGTGGAGAAAAAGAGGTGTAGAACACTTACGGATCTGAGCGCAGCCACTGAAGAATAATGCCTGTAGTACAATACAACACTGAGCCTTGTTTCCGTGGTAACCGACTGGAAAGCAGTGCCAGAGGATGAGGGGGGAGAAAAGGAGGAGGAATAAAACAGGAAAAGTCAGAGTAAAAATGAATTTCATTTCAATATTAAAATAAATTAAAATTCTAAAAATCAACATACTACACACAATAAAAGCAAGAACATACCCTATTTAAATAAAGATAAATCAATGAATGAATAGGCTAAATAAATAATGAATTAAATTAATGAAAATAAACGAATTACATTTTTCAATATTTAAATAAACAAATGTATGAAATGTTTTCACTAAATAAACTCTAAAAAAGACAAGAAAAATGCAGAATATCCTGACCACCCTTTTTAACATAATGAAATGTATATAGGGCTGTCAAGCTTCCAAAAGCAACCATAAAGCACCTTAATAGTGGTCTATACAACACATGCCATATAATACAGACTAAAATTCCTCACAAGAAAACTACAATTTCTTCAAAAGACTTTGAAATATAGTAAATGTGCAATATGAAACTGTTACGGAGACGTGAGACATGCGGATCCATGTGCACGCTTTATTAAGCAGAGAGGTCAGAAACACAGGCAGGGTCAAACAAGGGCAAACAGGTATATGGCGGGCAAGACACAAGAATAATCCTAGGGCTAGCGAAGGTCATCGAACGGCGAACAGAATCAAAAGGGACAAGACTAAAGGGATAAATCCAGGAAGACAGGCAAAGATCAGAACCGAGAAAACTGACAAGGCAAGGCAAAACAAGGAAACAAAACTAGCAGGCTAAGTAATACTCGGCAGTGAATGGTAGTTTGAGTGAGTGATATATAGTGAGTGAGTGATGTGAAACAGCTGTGTGCAATCCGTGCTGAGTGCAATCAGTGCAATGAATGATGGGATATGTAGTCCGGGGTGATGTGCAACAGTGTGTAGTGCGAGAGTCAATGAGATTGGAAAGGGTGACCTCTGATGGCTAGCAGATGGAAGTTCATGGACCGGATTCGTGACAGAAACATTTGTGATACATTAAAGGTGCAATAGGTGATTGTTTTCAGAAACATTTTTTGTTATGCTGGTTGAAAGTCTCTTCACATCACGATAGCAATCATTAAGTTAAGTGGTCTAAATATATTTGTCTGTATTTATATATTCTGTGGAAGGCGTAGGATCAAGAAATGCTCGATCCGAGCGTTTTAATATGCTTTCCTACCTGCCTGTCAGTGTATGTATTAGCATACCTCTGCGCACCGGGTTCGCGCAGACAGGATACGCCATCAGCGCGTTCACGCACGCTGTGCAGACAGAGAGAGAATGGCAGACAAACATCAACAACCCGATCTTCCTTCCTGGTATTGTAGTACTTTTAAAGTTTTCTCACCGGTGAATGACACATGATGTAGCCCAGTGGTTAATCCAGTCCCCGCGTCAGCTCGTTAGAAGTGAGCTACGTGCATGAACTGTGTTCCGATCGATATGATCCCTACACAGTGTTCATTGCTCCCTCCTCCCTGAGCAGGGGAAATCCGTTGAAGTTTACTTCACTTCGGAACATGGGCTGGAATTGGGAACTGCTGATGTAGCCTATTGTAGTAATGTTGTCTCTGGTCTGTGAGCGTAAATGTGTTCAGGGGGCGTGGCTTTGGACAGCGATTGCAGGGAGGGTGGGACGTTCGCTTTCAGTGCTATCAGGCTAAAGTTAGCATTTTCCAAGATCTCCTACTGCACCTTTAATAGTGCTTTTTGTACTTTTCAAATCTACGTTGTTTTAACTGCATGGAAAGGCTAGCACATTCTTCAATATTTTTTCTCATGTTGCACAGAACACACAACATTTAAAAGTCATATTAGTAATCTGAAATGACACAACAGTGAACAAACGATTATTTAATTTTTTCTTCAGGTGAACTACCCCTTTAAGTAAAAACGTCTCAGGCACATTATTAATACACAGAGCGAACAAGACAGAAAGTTACTCTGTCATAGAGGAAGAATCAGCTTAACAATGAGGTTTGTGTCAGTAATTCAAATTCATTTTCTACTTTAAATAATAACACACTGTCACAAGTGGTAACGGGCACTGTGGAAAAACCGGGTCTGGGTCCAAATGCAGGTGAAAACTCCTTTATTCCAAACAGAAAGGCCAACAAGGCAAAACAAAAACAGGTCTAGGGACGACGAACACCATTACATACGCACAATACAGCCAGGCCGAGTGGTGAGTGAGAGGAAAAGATATAGTCAGTGACAACGGGGAACAGCTGAGGGTGAGTGTGATGAGTGAGTGACTGAACAGGTGTGTGGAGTTTGGGGAATTAGTGTAATGAGTGAACAGGTGTATGGGGTTTGGGGAATGGGAGTCCGGGAGCTGGCGCCCTCTGGAGAAGAGAGGGAGAACACCAGACCCTGACAGGACCCCTCCCCTAAGGAACGGCTTCCAGACGTTCC